GTTGAATCTGCAAACTACAGCGATTATTTTTGTGGGTGCTATACTACATTTTTGTACCCTGCCCTGAGCCCAGTGCCACAGAGAGTGCAGTGCACTTGCAACTGCATGTGTGCCAGGAACATTACTTTAATCATGTTCTGGTAGCTCAGTGGGCAACATCTAGGCATTTTTAAATACTGCAATTTATTTTGGTGCTAAATAGTACATTCGCGTACTGCATTTCTTGCAGTCTAATAAAACCCTTAAATACTACTGTTACATTATTGGTTTAAAAAAAACAAAAAAAAACTTTTTTTGTGCTAAATAGTAAATTTGCGGCCTGCGGTGCACTTCATATCTGAGAGTCAAATAGAACCGTCAAATACTGTGGTTACATCGCAGTTTGACCAATTCAAATTTTTTGGGTGCTAAAAAGTAAAATTTGGGGCGTGCACTTCATATTTGAGAGTCAAACAGAACCGTCAAATGCTGTGGTTACATCGCAGTTTGAAAAATGCAAATTTTTTGGGTGCTAAATAGAGCATTTGCGGCCGGCGGTGCATTTCATGCAGTCCAATAAAAATAATCACTGGAGAGAAAAAGAGGAAGTACCCCCTACCCACCCGCAATCCCTGGCCCTGAATGCCAGCATTTCAAAATTCCTGGCATTTGAAATGCTGTCATTCCATCTGGTGGAGACGGGCAGTTTTAAAAACCTGATGGCGGTGGCTGTCCCACAGTACGTGGTTCCCAGCCGCCACTACTTTTCCAGGCGAGCCATCCCTTCCCTGCACAACCAATTGGCGGACAAAATCAGGTGTGCACTGCGCAACGCCATCTGTGGCAAGGTCCACCTAACCAATGATACGTAGACCAGTAAGCACGGGCAGGGACGCTATATCTCCCTAACTGCACACTAGGCAAATGTAGTGGCAGCTGGGCCTGAGGCGGATAGCAGTTTGGCGCATGTCCTTCCGCCACAGAGGATTGCAGGGCATTTCTCTTTGCCTCCTGTTGCCTTCTCCTCTTACTCCGCTTCCTCCTCCACATCCGGTCAGCGTAACACCATCACCACCAACTTCAGCACAGCCAGGGGGAAACGACAGCAGGCTGTTTTAAAACTCATATGTTTGGGGGAAAAACCCCACACCGCACAGGAGCTGTGGATGGGCATGAACAACAAACCGATGAGTGGTTGTTGCCACTGAGCCTCAAGCTCGGCCTGGTGGTGTGTGATAATGGGCAAAATCTTGTAGCAGCTCTGGGCCTAGCCGGTTTGATGCACACCCCTTGCCTGGCGCATGTGCTGAATTTGGTGGTGTAGAAATTCCTGAAAAACTCATATGCGACGTGCCCACGAGGTTGAACTTCACCTTGCACATGCTGGAGAGACTGTGTGAGCAGCAGCAGGTTATAGTGGAGTTTTAGCTGCAGCACGCACGGGTCAGTTGCTCTGCACCAGACTTGCCCTCCAATAGACCCTCGTTAAAGGATTTAAAGTGTACTCATTCCAATTACAGGGCCTTGAAAGAGTCCTGTATTGTTATTTAGCGTCACTACCTCCCCGCGTCGGGAGTGGGTAATTTGTGCGCCTGCTGCCTTCCTTGGCTGTGGTAGCCGTTTCTCAGGCTCCCTCTCCGGAATCGAACCCTGATTCCCCGTAGGCATAGAAAGTACCATCGAACGTTGATAGGGCAGAAATCCGAATGCGTCATCGCCCTCACGGGGACGTGCAATCGGCCCGAGGTTATCTAGAGTGCCTGCGCAACGACTGCCGAGTTGCCCACATTCTAACTTGTGGTGATTACTGGGTGGCCTGCCTGCTGGATCCCCGTTACAAGGACAACATGCCGTCCTTAATTCCCTCGCTGGAGCGTGATCGGAAGATGCGCGACTACAAGCGTACGCTGGTAGACGCACTGCTGAGGGCATTCCCAACTGACACTGGGGGCTCAGTGGAAGCACAAGGCGAAGGCAGAGGAGGAGGAAGAGGTCGCCAACGCAGCTGGAGCACCACCAGCACCTCACAAGGCAGGGTTAGCATGGCCGAAATGTGGAAAAGCTTTGTCAGCACACCACAACAACCAACACCACCAGCTGATATGGAACGTCTTAGTAGGAGGCAGCATTTCAGCAACATGGTGGAACAGTACGTGTGCACGTACTGACTGATGGGTCTGCCCCATTCAACTTCTGGGTCTCCAAATTGGGCACATGGCCTGAGCTTGTCCTTTATGCCTTGGAGGTGCTGGCCTGGCCTGCAGCCAGTGTATTGTCTGAACGTGTGTTTAGCACGGCAGGGGGCGTTATCACAGACAAATGCAGCCGCCTGTCCACAGCCAACACGGACAAGCTCAAGTTTATTAAAATGAACCAGGCACTGATCCCACCAGACATGTCTGTACCTTGTGCAGAATAGACATTTATACCGGCCTCACCCAGCCATTGTCATACCCAAGTGCACTTAATCTTTGTTTTCTTTTTTGATATGTCCCAATATTTGGGGGGATACCCCAATTGTTTGCAGGGCACTTGTCCTACTCTTACCCCCATTTTACTTCCTTTTGCAGCCCTCTAGCCCTTTCCAGGACTTTTTTTAGAGGCATTTTAGTGCCCAAATGTTCGGGTCCCCATTGACTTCGAACTCGAACTTTTTGACGAAGTTCATCCGAACTCGGCGATCCCGAACATCCAGGTGTCTGCTCAACTCTATACACACTCAGTGTATCACTGAGCTCCCCAACTATAAAACACAGAGTAATGTGCATTTTATATACCAGAGCTCCACTGTAATATGATGTTATGTTTGTGTTGTCTGAATATGTGATAGGTGTGATATGTATGCTATGGGTTGGCTGTGTGTGATATTTGTAATGGGTGTATTGGTTGTATGTGATATTTGTGCTGGGTTTACTGGCTGGCTGTGTGTGATGGGTATTTAATTCAGATACAAATATGCATTTAGAACAGTGTGTGAATGCAGGTGTATATTTTTGCAGAGTTATGTGCACACAGTCCCACAGTCAGATGCACACAGTTATACATAAACACTGTCAACTCCACCACATGCACACAGTCGCAGGCAGATAGTCAAAGGTACAGGCAGTAACACACGTACACAATCTTACACACACATACTTACGTGCAGACAGTCACAGTCTCACACACACACACACACGCAGACATCCACACACACACAAACCCTTGGAGACATCCACGCACACACAGGCAGTAAGTCACGAACACACACAGGTAGACAATCACACATAGTTACTTCTGTTCATTATGGAGGAGTGGAGGCCGTGCAGCTCCTGGATACTGGTTCTTGGTGAAGCGGGGACTCGTTCCTGCTTCCCTTGCAGCAGTTACCCGGCACTTTTAGCTCCGCCCCCACAGTCAGTTTTGCCCGCCTCTGCCACACTGGTAGCTCTGCCCCCGCCGCAATATATATATATATATATACACACACATACATACATACATACATATATATACATACATATATACATACATACATACACACACACACACACACACACACACACATATATACATATACACATACACATTCTGCAGGGGAAACAAAGTCTTTTAACATGGGGCCATAATCCAAAGGTAACAGGCGAGCAACCAGGCTACTCCAATGCAATGTGGCGAGGTTGCTCTCGTCACAACATTGATTGCATCATGAAAATGGCACGTGTGAAGAGGTGTGATGGGTTGGAAGCAGGATAAATGGGAAAATGAGTGACTTTGCCAAGAGTCAAACGGTGATGGCTAGACAATGGGGTCAAAACATGTACAAAATGGAAAGTCTTGAGGGGCGGGGCCTAGGCATCATGGCGGCTGGCTTCACATCAAGTGAGCTCCCAGCTTGATACACAAACTGACTGATTAACTGACATCCAGCCCGCCACAAACGACTTACCCAGCTACATACCATTAACTGGTAACTCAGGGAAAGATCTTAAGGCTTTATGTGGCTTACCAGCCTGAATTTCACACAGTGAAATGCAGCATACCCCTGCGGCTGGATGGGTGAAGAGGCCGATCACCCGCTCTGCAACAACATGTGAGGTCTGCCAATTATCCAGTTACACACCCCCCCCACAACCGGTGGAGGACATCCCTGTCCCCACTGAGGCCCGCATATCCTTGGGCTACGATTAGATATTTAAGTTTTCTAATTTTATAGAATATCAATAAGATATTTACGGTCTTGTTTACTAGAAGGAACACTACAGTCACCCAGATCACTTCATCTTAATTAAGCAGTCTAGGAGCAGTGTCCCTGTATTGTTTTTACAATTAATGGTTAAGGCCACCTCTAGTGGCTGTCAGTATGAGGAGCATTGGATTGGCCCTCGCTGGGCCTCGGTGCTGGTAAAAATGTTATCTTATAGTGAACAGTGATAGGAATTTAAAATTAAGTAAATTAATTTAAAAAAACAAAAAACAAAAACACTTTAAAATAAACCTCCACCTGTATTTTAACAGTTACAAGACTGTCAAATGCAGGTCACTGTCCACGTAACCAATGTTAGGTTTAAAGCCAGGTAGGTTAACATTTATTATTAAAGGACCACTATAGGCACCCAGACCACTTCAGCTTAATGAGGTGGTCTGGGTGCCTGGTCCAACTAGGGTTAACCCCTTTTTTCTAAAAACATAGCAGTTTCAGAGAAACTGCTATGTTTATGTTAGGGTTAATCAAGCCTCTAGTGGCTGTCTCATTGACAGCCGCTAGAGGGCTTCCGCGTTTCTCACTGTGAAAATCACAGTGAGAAGACACCAGAGTCCATAGGAAAGCATTGTGAATGCGCATTCAGCCGAAGAGGAGGAGAAGAGGGAGGAGAGGAGGAGGAGAGCTCCCCACCCGGCGCTGGAGAAAGAGGCAAGTTTAACCCCTTCCTCCCCCCAGAGCCCAGCGGGAGGGGGTCCCTGAGGGTGGGGGCACCCTCAGGGCACTATAGTGCCAGGAAAACGAGTGTTTTCCTGGCACTATAGTGGTCCTTTAATAACAAACCTTAACACTGCAGAGTATGCTATGTAGAACACACAAAATTGGAAAGTCGGGCATACATTATCATTGGATTCAAATTTTTCATTACAATAATAAATAGGGTTGAATGTTTCTTTATTACGAGCTTATAAAGCATGCATTTGCTAGCAAAATTCTTCAGTCAGGGCAACAGCAGAAACACTTCTCTCTGATGATAGAACACACAAAACACAGTGCCAACAGCTTAAAAACAGCCAAAACTGAAGACAAATAACCTCCTTTAAGCCAATTACCAGTAGCACAGAGCAGGACTGCCACCTCCCAGCCATCTGCTGCCTTGTGTATGTCAGGCACGTTAACACGGTGTTAATTGCTCCTATTTAGTAAAGGATTTTATTTCAGAAGCGGGCTGCCTTACTTTTCTTTAACTAAGAGGCTCTCACTGTAGGCTGGTGTTTGTGTAGGGAATGTCATTTGTAATGGATTACTAGAGATCTGACAATCCATTATCATTTTTATTTAAATGTTTATGGATGTAAAAGTTTTTTTGTTTTAGCTAAAATCTGGAACAATAGTGAGCTCGAGATATAACAGATCAGATCCTAAAGGCACACCAACGATTCAGTAATTGTCAGAATCCCAGTAGGGCTAGAATTCAGAAAGGTCTAAATCATGGACCACTGGTATGTGGAGAGGATTGGGTTATATCTGCCCCAGATATAATAGGAATAGTAGCAATGGGCTGCCTTGGTCACCACTGGTGACACGAACATGAAGTCTAAGGCATATCACTGAGTGATAAGTTGAGAGTGAGAAACCCTTTTCTGTGGCTAAAGTGGTCACCTTACCATCATCTTGTTGGTACGTTTTAGGATCTTCTGGCTGCAAGTAATTTTGATATCAATTTAAAGTGTATCTGCCATAGGGAAACCCCCCACCCACACTCTAAATCCTAATTGTCTCCTTTAAATATTTTTTGTTTTCTAATTTACCCATTTTTATTTTATTTATTTTTTGCTTCTCACTTGCAGTGCTGGTTCTCTATTCAAAGTGATGGCATTTTATGAATCCTAGCAGCGACATTTATTCACAGCCTGATTTTCCTAAACCTCCTTCCTGTGCTTGAAGTCCCGCACATGTCTACAGTTAGTTTTGCTCCTTGATCACGTGGCGCCAGTAGTGAATGACCTATGACTATATTTGGTGATGTGAAGCTGTCATTGATTGCTATGTAAACAACACAACATTTGCCGTGCATGACTACAAAGCTGAAATCAAATGCAATTGTACTTGGCATGCACAATATTGCAAGAATCTAGAGGAAAGACATGGCAGGCAGGTGGGCATTGAGGGAAAAGTGGACTTGACAAAGGAAGTGGAGTTTGCCTTAAGCTCCACCCTTTCCTAAATTTGTCAAATATAGGTAAAATACACAAGATAAAGTAGTCCCTTGAGCGGCCTAGGAATGAGAAGCAGACCTAGAAAAAAAAAGTCTATGCCAGCCCCATAACACCAGCATAGTACACAGATATAGGCGTGGAAAAGAGAACTTAAAATTGTAAACTAAAAACCATTACTCCAACGTGAAAAAAAGCACTTATAAGGCATCAAAATAAACAAAAGAGCAAATTTATTTTAAGCCTGCGTGCATTGCATTTAATCAATGTTTCAGTCCAAATACCTTCATATATTAAGGAAAGTTTGGTAATAGGACTGAAATGGTGAATGTATGCTGATCTTCAGTTTGTCTGAGATCATCAAACTTGATGATCTCAGCCAATCCTATGTTTTCTCATAGGAAAGCAATAGGAGGCCATT